TTCCACCCACACAAAATAATGCAGAATTCTGAAATAGCTGAATTCCTTTGACCAACTATTGGTAATTATCTGCAGCTTTAGCTGAAGATTATGCTTTGGGAGGTGTTCATGCAAAAGAAAAAAGGCATTGTTCCCCCTAAGGATATAGAGGGAGTACAAGTTTAATGTCTTTCAGAAGAGATGACTCTAAAATGAATTGATTCCATTTCCCTCACATAACTCGTCAATATTTGCGACTAGACAAGCAAACCACCCGCAGGACTGGTTATGAAAACAAAGAGCCTTTCTTTTTTGAATTCATACCGGGATAGACCATGCCACTTCCTCTGTACTTCCTGAAAAATAGGTGGGATTTTAAAAAGGTCTTAAAAATATATGAAGTTTTGGTTTCCACTTTCCTAATGTGACATGATGTTTACAAATGATTCTTGAGATGAAGTTTTGCTCTTCTTGTTTTAATAGCATTTAAGAAGTATAGATCGATGTTTAAAAAAATTGGTGTCTGTGCCAGTGACTATCATTCCATGAAGGGACTCCCGACAGTCTGCCCTCCACTATTGAGATAAATGAGTAGGATGCCGCCTTTGTTCTCCCCACACTCGCTATCCTATATTCTTTTTAAAAGTTTTTTAAATATATTTTTTATTGTTGATAGTATTACTGATATCTCCCATTCCCCCCCCCCCCCCCCAGGCCCTGCCCACCCTCCTCGTTATCCTCTGTTCTTATTTAAGGACCTGTCCTTTGGATGCTGACATTTTGTTAGTGTTTTTTCATTTTCCTTTATTTTTTGCCCAGCGTTCATTTCCTCTTCTAGGAACAGCTCACTTCTTTTTGAGGCTCCGCTTCTCTCCCACCGCCTTCAGTTTCTGTAGAGTTGTGGCTCATCAGGTGTCATTTGAAAAAATTGCCGGGAGAAGAGCCTTTTCTCAAAGGGCACTGGCCTGGAGGGGAAATTGCGCTTTCTGACACGTCCCACCTCGAGGGAGACGTGAGGGCGGCCTCCGTCAGCCCAGGCTCCCTGTCCAGTGCCCTGAAGTCATGGGCGTGGACTGGCAGGCTGTCTAGGAGAAATGCTTCTGGCCTTAAGGGTTTTACCAGCACCTCCTGCCGGGCAAGCTAAGCACTGGTTGCGATTATGTGTGACACACACCGAGGAGTCACTGTGCTTTCTCTGAGCAGTGGGCACAGTGCACCCACCGGGCAGTTTGGGAATGGATTTCTTAGTCTCAGATGCCAGCTGGCATGATGGGTCTCTGCTTTCCTAGGTCTCTCACACCCCTCCTTTCTGCAGGCAAACGGTCTTTAGTGTCTTTTGACATCAAAATAGTTGTTCCCCCTTTTTTCTCTCATTTATGTAGTAAAACACACATGGAGTTTGAAGCATAGTGGAATTGAACAAGGTTGTGCGTGCGCGCGCACACGCGTGTGTGTGTGCGCATGTGTGTGTGTGTGGGGGGTGGGTGTTTTTGGAATTTGAATGGTGAAACAGGATGCTAATTATTATTATTGGTTTTATTTATCAATGTCCAGCATAGGTTAAGATCTGGGCTGCATTTCCAGTCTGTAAAAATCACTTGATCTTGAACATGTTCCCTTCAGGTGAGGCTTAGTGAATTGACATTGACCTCCAAACGCTTTAGTGAAAGTATTTTAAGTAAAAACCCTTGCTCCGTGTCTTTGTCATCTGCTGCCGCCTGTGTCTTCTAAACAAAAGCTGCTGCTTTGGGCATGAAGTTGTTTACTCAGGTGTTTTGCAGTTTGCTTAGTAATTGCATCTCCCTTGACCTCTGGAAGTCAAGGGGTAGCGTGCTCCGTGTTGCGGAGGCTGGTGTCTGTGCTGGGAGGGGCAGCGCAGTGCAGCCCTCATCACAGGTAGGAGAGGGAGGGCTTTTGGGAGAGCTGCCTCCTGGGAAATGGTGTCCGGAGGGTTATCTAAGAGCTTTGAAGAACTGCTTTCTGTTTAACAGATACGGTGGGGATGACTACATGGTTTATCTTCTGAGCTTTTCAGAAGAGCATGGATAATATGCTGAAGAAAATTTGCCTTTCTCATTGCAGAAGGCGTAGGTATGAAGCCAAGAAGCCAATCAGAATTTTTAGATTCCAGTAGGAAAAAATGAAAAAAAGCAGCCATTCTGGTTGGTTGAGTAGCACTAATATTTTCATATGCGAACATTGCATTGATTAAGGTAGTTCTAGACTACAATTTTGAACTATAAAATTTAAAGTGGTTTGATTTTTTTTTTCATTTTTATGAGACTTTGCAAATTCATTTTTGCATGGTGTTGGACATTACCTTTCCTATAAGGGAAAAATGAAATTTTCCAAAGCAGGTTTGGTAATAGCCGCTCACTGTCATCTACGCATTCTGACTTTATTTATTTATTTTCTGTTGATCTAAGCTGTGTAGAGTGAAATATCCGAATGAGGTTTTTAAACACTTACCTAATAAGCCTTTTAGAGATTCATTGGCAGGGTCAGTTTTAATTAGTAAATACTGAGGCCGTTATGAAGCAGAAACTTACATCTGAATATTGGTTTTATCCCTGGCCTCCTGCTAACCAGGAACTCGCGCCCACCCTCACGGGAGTCTCTGGGACATAGTTACTGAGATATAGTGCAGTGACTGCAAACTCACCCAACACGGGATTGAGTTTTCCCAGCCTTCTCAACGTTTCTGGGATTCTGTTGTCCCTTAGATGCAAAATCCAGAATTTAGTCCTAATTTCTTTTTCACTTTTACCCCCTGTATTCAATCTGTTGCCAAGTCTTTGGGCTCTTTTTTTAAAAAAAAAAATATTCCTGAGTGCTATTCCCTTTTTTGTGTAACTGAAGTCCATTCTTTAGAATTCAGTGCCAGATGCCTTGAACCAGGTAGCTGCTAATTGGCTCCCCACCTCTGCTTTCCTCCTCCGACCATCACCCCTACTACGTGCTCAGATCAAGTTTCCCAGGCGTAAGCTTCATAGCGGACTCCTCTGCTCAAGACCCTGGGGTGGTCTCTGCCCGTTACTCTTGGTGAGGTTCCCACTGACTGACTCCCCGTTCTGTGCCGCAGACCCTCCTCCTCCTCCTCCTCCCATCTCTCTCTAACCTCGCACCTCACCGCGTGCAGTCACCAGTTCGGGAGAGGTGGGCTCCAAAAGTCCTTTGACGAATGGCTTGTTAGGAAGTCGGAATTACATTTTTATGCAGAAACAGTTCCTTAACCGCTGTGGCTGAGTCACGAGCTGTGTAACTCAAAGGCCCGTGGATCCTGGTGCAGCTGATGTCTGAGCTCTGGGAGCTGGAAGCCACGTTGACTAGGGGGGCGCGGCAAGGACGGGCTGCTTTTCTCCTTTGTACTGAGCACTGGATCAGCCAGCACTAGGGAGAGCTGATAGTGTGTTTCGTGTGTAAAGATGGTCTTCTTTTTATTGTTTCCTTTTTAAAAAAATTAAATTTATTGGGGTGTCTTTAGCGTTTAACTTCTGTTATCTGTTTTTCAAGTCCTAGTGTTACTCTTCCCAGACTCTAAGCCAGAGAGAGCTACTCCAAACTAAATAAGGCATTAATTCAGTGATTATAATATCTTCCTATTAAAATAACAGTAGTTGCTTTTAAAAAATGTTTAGAGGATTATAATAGACATACAGTATTAGTTTCAGGTGCATAACATAGTGATTCAGCATTTATATACCTCACAGAGAGATCACAAGAAGCCCAGTAACCATGTCATACGTAATTATGATGATGATACTGACTCTATTCCCTATGAGCACGATTTTTCTCTCGTCACCATGGTCTTGCATGGCACATGAACGTTACCTCCATTTAGTAGGTGAATCTATCCAGGCTGGGTGAAATGTAAATATATGAAGCGATTGACTTATAAACTCAAGACTTATGCCCTAGCCCCAGTTTTGTTCAGTGGATAGAGCGTCGGCCTGTGGACTGAAGGGTCTCAGGTTTGATTCCGGCCAAGGGCACATGCCCGGGTTGCGGCTCGATCCCCATAGGGGGCATGCAGGAGGCAGCCAATCAGTGATTCTCTCTGATCATTGATGTTGCTCTCTCTCTCTCTCCCTCTTCCTCTCTGAAATCAATAAAGCAATATATTTTAAAAAAAGATTTGCAAATAACTTGTGTAGGTATCTATTTCATTCGTCGGTTTATTTTGTTCATTAGGTTCCACATATAAGTGAGATTAAATAGATCCAGAGACATGGAAGCATGGAACAGACTGACGAATCTCAGAGGGGAGGGGGCGGGGATGGGTGGGAAGACAGTAACCAGAGAACTTATATGCATATATGCATAACCCTGGACACGGGCAATGGTGCAGTGAAGGCCTGGGGAGGGGGAATGGCGGGTATGGGGTGGTGGGGGTCTTTGTGGGGAAAAAGGGGAACATCTGTAAAACTTTCAACTGTAAAGATAAATTAAATAAAGAAATAAATAACTTGTATGTATTTGTGAATGTCTTAGAAAGAGTAAGTGCCGTGTGTGCCGGGTGCTGTAGTTTTAACTATGACGGCCTCTGTGGTTACGGGAGGGGCTCCTGAAAGAGACTTGAGTGAGTTATGTTCCCATGCGAAGGAAACCAAGCAAATGAACTTGTCCTCAGTGGTCTATTTCAGCTGTTTGCATGTGCCAGATTTTTGTGTCCTGCTATTTTGAAATGTAATAGCAGCAGCAAATACTTACGTGATGGGGGGTGTGGGGGTGGTGGGTGGTGGAGGAGAGGATGCTGTTTCTGCAGGAGAGAGGACACCCCTACAGGGATGGTGGAGAAACCCCTGCTTCCTGACTGGCTGGGAGGAGCTGGGCGGAGGGAGGTCGAGGGCCTTGCCATCCTCTGACCTCAGCGGCCTCTGACGCCATCAGCTGACGGTGGAGTCTGGGCTTAGTTCTGAAGCCGGGATTAGAGCCCGGCGCTCACCCAAGGCTTTGTGTCGGGGAGCTTAGCCCTAAGTCCTGTGCTGCAGCCCTAACGCTGTGTGCTTGCCTGTCCCCAGCTGTGTAGGAAGCCACCCTCGGAGAGGCGGCCGGGATGGCCGGCTCGGCCCGGGAGCACCTGCTCTTCGTGCGGCGGCGGAACCCCCAGATGCGCTACACGCTGAGCCCCGAGAACCTGCAGAGCCTCGCCCAGGGCTCCCGGCCCGAGAACATGGCCCTGCAGCGGGCCAACAGCGACACGGACCTGGTGACCTCCGAGAGCCGCTCCAGCCTGACGGCCAGCATGTACGAGTACACGCTGGGCCGCGCCCAGAACCTCATCATCTTCTGGGACATCAAGGAGGAGGTGGACCCCAGCGACTGGATCGGGCTGTATCACATCGGTGAGTCACGCCGCGGGCCTGCTGCGCCCGGGCCTTGCGCGTCTCTGCGACATTGTGCTCTTCTGTATTTTCTCCTGTAGACACGCTCACACGGGTCAATGAAGGCAGCGGGGCCGGGAGTCCTTTCTTCCTGGTCGGAGGAGGAGAGACAACAGTATAGGTACCTTTGCTGATAGGAAGTCTGTGGTCACATCTCTCTCCTAATTAAATTCCCAAATCTGCAGGTTTTACAGTTTTTTTTCTTTTTTTAAACTTCCTATTACCCTTGAGGAATAGTTCCACTTTGGAAAGAGGGGGCTGCTGGCATTTATGGGTATTTTTAAATGGATGGAAAAGACAATCTAGAGTTAGGTAACTGATCTGAGAAACTGCTCTGTGTTTCCTGAGGTTGAATTTCATTAAGAACAACGTGCAGTCTAGAGTATGAGTCCAGAATTCTTTCATGTGTCCCTGGTCCATGAGGTGAAGAAAGTGTCATATTCTTCTAACATATGAGTTAGAAGTAGGCTGCTCTGTGTTTTTATAAACGAGTCCCAGCTCTCTTTAGCTAATTTGTATTCATAGGTAGGTGAGTGATGAATAATGTGTCCGACAAAGTATGAAGTCTGCTTATTGGAAAGCAAAGGTCAAAACTTTCTCACCAGCCAGTAGGAAAGCTAAATCAAATTGACAGTGAAATCTAACATTCCCCAGCATTGGGGAACTTGTTCACTGAATGAAGGGAATTAAAAAAAAAAATTAACATTCGTTATTTTATTAGAAAGACTTCATTGCTTTCCATGTAGATTATAAACTGAGCATTTTGGGGGGCTTTTGTAATAAATAAATTAGGGGGAAAAGATTGGTTTATGGCAGTGCTTCTCAACCAGGGGCGATTCTGCTCCCAGAGGACATTTGGCGATGTCTGGATACGTTTCTGGTTGGTACAGCTGGCGGGGGAAATGGGAGACCAGGGATGCTGCTAAATCTACTGAGGCGCGGAGGACAGCCCCTCACAACCAAGGCTTACCTGCCCTCAACTGTCCCCACGGCCACTGTTGGGAAACCCTGTTTGAGGCAAAGTGACAGACATCCTTGTTGAAATCATATTCATGTTAAACCCACTTGCTTTGTCTTTCTCCGGGACCAGGAGTTTTAAATTAATTAGTTTGTATTTACTGTTGTATCTCTAAATGTATAATCATGCTGGATAGCAGGAAATCTAAGACAACAAAAAACATCAATGACTTTTTCTTTTTTCTCTCTCTCTTATGACAACAGGGGGAAAGTCTTCAGCGGTCAGCATTTCCCCCAAGTGCGTTTAAATACACTTTCAAAGTGAGAGGCAGGTCCATGACGTAAACATGATATTTTCATTTATGGTACCTGTTAGGTTCACAAAATATTTTACTTTTTGGCAGTAACTCTTTTGGTTTTTATGTAATTCCACCCTTTTGGATTTTATAAACTTTTTTTTTTTTTTTTTTAACTCTTCTCATAATGCTTTTTCCTTCCCTCTTATTTTAGATTTCGCAATGCTTAGTATGAGACTACAAATAGCACACTGTGTTTTCTTAAATGCTTTTTTATGTGATACTAGAGGCCTGGTGCATGAAATTCATGCACTGGGATGGGGAGTTCCCTCAGCCCAGCCTATGCCCTCTCACAGTCTGGGAGCCCCACGATGGATTGCCCCTGCAGAGGGAGGCCCTGCCCACCCACCGCACCTCACTGGTTGGTGGCTTGGGCCTCCCTCTGCAGGGCAATCATGGGGCAATGGTTGGGCCCCCAACCAATCGCATTGCACCCGCCTTGGCTGGCCTGGTGCCAGCGGGTGTCATAGCGTGGTCTTCTGAAAGGTGATCCAGATGGTCGTTCTGCTGTTCAGTTGATTTGCATATTACGCTTTTATTATTATAGATTTCTTTGGGACATAATCAGTTTTATTTCTTTATATGGGATGATTTTTCGTGGGTGTGAATGATTTAATCTGTGAGATGCTAGAATCGCTTAAGACATTGACTCCTGTTACTCCAGACTTTCTGCCCTGCCTTCCTTCTTGTTTCCCCACCCCACTTGTTATGTTTCTCTGGCTAGACTAATTCCAGAAGGAAATAAGGAATTCATTTTATCTCTGGGTGACCAAAGCCACAAAGTATTTGTGTTCTTATGTATAGTTTTCTGGAGGCAGAAATAGAGTCAGAGTTTTAAATCTGGAATTAATCTAAGGATTGAGCTCAGAAAGTAGAATTGGGACATAAATCTCTTTTTTTTAAAAAAAATATGCTTTTATTGATTTTAGAGAGAGAGGAAGGGAGAGGGACAGAGAGATAGAAACTTTGATGAGAGAGAATCATCTATCTGCTGCCTCCTGCATGCCCCCAATTGGGGATCGAGCCCGAAACCCAGGCATGTGTCCTGGCCGGGAATCAAACCAGCAACCTTTTGGTGCACAGGACGATGCCCAACAAACTGAGCCACGCCAGCCGGGGCAGGATGTACTAGCTTAACTTGTATCTATGTGGCAACCATAAGGCATCAATCAAGAGGAATACAGGCTAAGGATGCATAACAGAACATTAGAAAGAGCTTGGGCTGGCGCTCCAAAGTTCTTGCTGTATGCGCGAAAGTCTTCCCCTCTTTGTTTAAGTGCTAATTCATGGGGCTTTCTCATCCCAGCAGTTATTCCTACCTGAGCTGCTGGGGTGGCTGTACAGAAAGACGAGAAAGGCAAAGGAGATGTGCCAGTTGCTTTTACAGGCAGGGCGAAGGGTGAGCGGGCTGCCTTGGTAGTTACTGCTTCAGGGAGAGCACGTGGGGAAGCTTGGATATAGGTGAAAACCGCTAAGTTGTTTTGAAAAAGGCAAAGCAAAAACTGCTTTGCAAACAGTAACTCCAAGTCGTGGGGAAACTTTGAAAAACTGAATAGGACTACTAATAATCGGAAGGATCTTTCAAAGGAGTCATAAAAACATGCACGTTTTCTTGGGCATTATGAAATGAAGACAGGTGAGGTGCTGCTACATTTGGAGAAGACCTGAAAGAACAGGGAAAAACGCAAGGCCGGGAGGCGGAAAAGAGTTTTGGGGTCCCGGTTATGTCAGATTTAAGGGTGCCAGGGCAGAACAGCTCTTGAGCGCTCCGTGAAATAGATGTGCTGAGTGCAGGTTTCATAACAGCAGCACGGACGTCAGGAATAGCTTCAGATTTCTATACCTCGTGGTGGGAAGCAGCCGCTCCCCTTAGGTTGTGTCCTGAGAATCTGGGCTGTCTCCTAGCAATGCTTAGCTTTATTTGTGGAACAGAGAGTGGTCTCTATAGAAAGCAGTTCCCAAGGGGAAGGGCTGGGTCGAGCATCGCACTGGCAAGGTGTCGCTTATTGGCACGCTCTGCATTTTGATTGTGTTTCTCTTGGCTTAGCGTTTCTGCCTCTACAGTCTGAGTTTATTTATTTATTTTTTATTGTTGATGCTATTACAGATGTCCCCCACCCTCCTCCCTCTGAGTTTTGGTTTTGTTTGGCGAATTGTTATAGTCTACACTATATAACTCACTCCAGCTGACTTTCAGCACTACGAATCTGGAAGGAAAAATAGATCCTCCTGGATCAGACACATCCATCTTCCTCTAGCCGTTTCAGGCAGTACATAGGTCCTGCTGGGAATACAAAGAAAAGCAGTTGAAAGTATCAAGACACCATCTGGGGAAACTTTGGGTGTAAACATGGCTCTGGAAGCGGATGCTAATTACCGTTTCTCACAGAGACCCCGAGACTTGCAGTGTAGCCATATGATAGCCCTGGAGCTCCACACTGCAGCAATTCGTGCCCTGGGTGTGGTTGTTGGAAATCACCAGCGTTATGGTTTATCGTTGGTCTTGCACATGAGACTTGCCCCCTCGCATTTGACAGTGCTACTCATCGCTGCCTCCTCAGCTCGCTAAGTAACAAGAGCCAAACCGTTAGCTAAGGTGCCCAGCTCAATCGCTTTCCCTGAAAGTCAGACAGACACCCTTCAAGCAGGAGGCCGAGCATATGACATCGATTCGGGCTCACACTCTGATTCCTCCGAATGCTGGGTCGTGGGCTGGTTTTTCTGACCACTCAGAAGGAAAACACTTCTAAAGGCTTCAGTTGCCATTTCTCATCTGCAGGCGACTTCAAACACGTGAACAGCGCGAGGAGGACGCACACTGTGACAATGAGAAGTATAACCTGTGCTGTACACCTGTGCGACTCAGGGTGCTGGTCTACCATCAGTTTGTCGCTAGATAAGAAGCTTTCTCCAGAATGTGGGTCGGTGTAACTGCTTCACTTAGTTAGAAAACCTTGCTATTAAAAATGGTCTACACTAAATAATGGGCTTGATGTGGGTATTTCATATTCTGGCGCAGCTTCTTATCTTGTCAGGGGCCCCGTCACGTGCAGTTGACCAGCATTTGCCTGGACCACACTTGGAGTGCACATCTCAGTGCCCACGTGTCCATGGTATCTTCAAAGATGAGTGGCAAAACAACTGTATTTTGACTCTGCCTTAAAAAAATAGCATGGCTGGTAATAGCCTATGACATCTTTCATATATCTTTGCATTTGGTTAGTAAAATAAGGTAAGGTCACAATCGTTAGCTAAGGCTTTAAGATCCTATATTTCATTTATTTACTTTTTTATTTCTATTGCGCACAGGTACAAGTTTAATAGATAAGTGGAGGGGAGCATGAGTACATAAAGGATATAAAAAAATAGAGGTGCCTCTTATTTCAAAGGCATATTCTAAAATCATATATTTTATAGATCTAAAATCCCAACGCATTAGCTGATATTTTATGGATAAACACTAAGATCCAGGCCTCAGCCGGGTTGGCTTAGTGCAGCCGTGGGCAAACTACGGCCCGCGGGCTGGATCCGGCCTGTTTGAAATGAATAAAACTAAAAAAAAAAAAGACCGTACCCTTTTATGTAATGATGTTTACTTTGAATTTATATTAGTTCACACAAACACTCCATCCATGCTTTTGTTCCGGC